GAGGTGCTGGCACATCCAGCCTGGTTTTTATTACAGTCTTGCAAATACAGGACCGCCCACAGGGAGGTATAAAACAACCAATCACATCACAGTTACATCCCACATATTCCCTCCCCTTATCCTGAGAGGAAACTCAATTACACATACAGTTAAAACATACTTTCTACCCAACTTTCATAACTCTAAAACCATACATCACATTCACATAAAATTACATATTCACAATCAATCCATTCAGGGGAACAACATATTAAAAAATGGCATGAATCAGACCAGGGGTTCAAAAGTTAGTAAAAAGTATCTTTTGTACCCTGGCTGGCAGCATGGCTATCTGGCTCAAACAGGTTTTACAGAGCCCTCTATCCTGGACAATGGGGAAAGTAATCCAATTATCCAGGGATAGAGGCAGACTCCATTGAGCACATGGGGACACAAAGACAGTAAAACACTTTAAAATACATCAGGTAAGACACCTTACATTAAAACTATACATTTAACATATCCCCAGATAGCTCAGGTCTGAGCGCACATTATTAAGTGAATGGCGCTCAGACCACACGAATACAGTTTAATCGCCATGGAGCCAAAGTCTTTACAGTCAGTTTCATACGAATGGGCTCCATGGGATTCCTATCTTGGGTATAACACATTCAAACAAATCTACCGAACCCCAGGCAGAAAAGCACGAATTAAGCTTTTCTGCAGGTAAAAAAAGATGTCTTTTAACAGGGGGCCATAGTCCAAAGGCAGCAGGCGGGCAGCCAGGCTTCTCCAGGGCAATGTGGCGAGCTTGCTCTCATCACACCTTCTATCAATCATTGAGCCAATTAACTCTTTGAACTATCTGATGGAGGAAGTTAGAGTGTATAGCCAATTAGCAAATTACAAATTAAACAATGAAAAAACAGTCGTGATGAGTATCGAACTAGATAAAAAATCAAGAGAGGAAATTAGTAACCAATATGCACTTACATGGACATCTCAGAAATTTGATTGTTTAGGAATATCTATTACTAAGAATATAGAGAGAATGATGGAAGAAAACTTCCTAAGCCTATTAAAAAGTACAAACTTATTACTTAAAGATTGGAGAAATATGCAGATTACCTGGTGGGGCCGTATTAACGTTATTAATTCCTATATCATTCCTAAATGGAATTATTTATTCCAAATGATTCCACTTAGGATTCCAGATGTTTGGTTGACGCTATTACAAAACAATCTAGAAAACTTTATAAATAAGGGTAAGAAAAACAGAATAAATTGAAATATTTTATCATTAAAAACTAAGGATGGTGGTTTAAATTTCCCTAACATAAGAGTCATATACTGGGCAAATGTGATCACACATACGTATAGGTCCCAGACGGGGACAGCTAAAGAAGAAGGTTGGTTTAGTATTGAAATGGAAGATTTGAGATTAAAAAATCCAGAGGGCTTGTTATGGAATACGAAAACTCTAGATAAAATGGAGATTGATATTAAAAATAATATTATATGGGCCCAAATGTTGCCTGTTTGGGAGGAAATTAAAAAGAAAATAGGCCTTAAATATGCAATTATGGACACGGCAAATTTGTGGATAATAGAAGCTAATATGAAAGATCTCTCCTTAGATACCTGGAGAACTCAAGGAATAAATAAAGTTTCGCAGATATTATATTTGGATAAAATATTGCCTTTTGATACTATTTTACAAAAGTATCTCCCTCATCGAGAGTTATTTACCTACTTGAGGCTTAAATATTTCCTGCAGAAACATCTTATTAAAGAGTCTGGAAAAGTGTATATAATGATAAAACGCATAAGCTCAAATCAGATTGTACCAAATGTTCTAGCTAAAGCAATAGAGGTAATTAGAAATATTAATGAGGTAGTTAGTCTCCCCCAGAAGACTAAATGGGAAAAAGATTTAAAGTGCTCTTTACAACATGAAGATTGGTGTAAAGTTATAAATAACACTCGCCGACAGGTCCAATGTTTAAATTTATTAGAAACCTACTATAAGGTTATGTATAGATGGTATTTAGTCCCTACCAAGCTATCTCAGATGTATCCTGGAGTTACCTCTAGATGTTGGAGATGTGATAAAGAGGAGGGATCATTCCTCCACATCTGGTGGAGTTGCTCAAACATTCAGATCTCTATTAAGAGAATGATAAGATTCATTAAAGATATTACTGGAATAGAATTAGAAAAGAAACCAGAGGTAGTCTTGTTACATATGCATTGGCCAAATATGTCATATATAAATAGATGTTTTATTATACACTGTTTTATCACATTTAAAATTGTTCTTGCATGGAACTGGAAATCTAATCAAGTAGTTCATTGGGACGTTATTAAAGATCAAATCATCCTTCAGACGAGGATGGAAAGAGACCTGAGCATACCGTATTTGAATTCCCCAAAAAGAAGGGACCTATGGCAAAGATGGGTTAACAAAATAGAAGCTAGCTTATAAATTAGACTGGTATCCATTAGATCTGTTAATATCTGAATAGTAAGAGTCCTGAGCTAAGACAGACTCCTCTACCAGCCCGATCCCGCGGATAATGGCGTATTCTGTTTGTCTAATGTGAATGTTTTGACTATGTAACGATGTAATTTGACTTGTGTTGTTGTGTTGATATATGTATTTTTTGTAAGAAATTGAATAAAAGAATTTATACTACAAAAAAAAGAAAAGAAATTAAGAACATCATCAAATTAGAAAATTGGGCAGACTAGATGGGCCAAACAGTTGTTATATGTCGTCGCATTCTATGTTTCTAACTCTTAATTTAGTACCCTCAAGTGGGTTTGTCATATTTAAGGCTATTATAACTTAAGGCTATTATAATTTACATATGTGGCAATCCCACATATGCATAGCAAATTACGGAGTTAGCTACTAAACAGCCGAAAGATCAAAATTAAGAAGAAAAAAAAAGGGAAAATAAGCCCTTTTGGTTATTGTGATCTTCCAGCTGTGTTTAGTAGGTAGCTCCCTAATTTGGAATCCTGATATGGGATTATCGTTTTTAAGGTTATTAAGGAGCTGTCTGCTAAAGAGAGTCTGCTAATTTGGTATGCTTTGGATAACTGAAATAATGGGGTATGAATTTAGGTTGCTTCTAAAACAATTTTTGGGGTAAATATAATTTCTTGTTGGTTTGTCAGAAGGTAGTATGTGATCATATCATTGCAAGATATTGAGACTTGCAGAGTAACATGTATCTCAAACATCAAAGTTAGCAGTAGTGAATGCATGGCTAGACTCGCAGGTATGTAAGAGTAGAAACAATCAGGAGACACGCAGGTCCCATATCACATATTAAGCAACTTTAGTAGCTGGCATTATCAGGTGTAACTCAGGATCTAATGCAGTTGTGGTATCACGACACATTGGTATATAGGCAATATGCTGTGTGAGTGTGTCCGGTTTGTCTATACGGTTACAGGGATTGTATACATAGTGTGTGTGTCCCTGAGCCTCATACAATGTATTGCAACATCTGAAGTGAATCCTGGACAAATAATGTAAGTAAGATTTTAAAGAAATCAGCTATTTTGCATATGCCCAAGCACATTCTTCCTCACACAAGAAACCCCCACCTCCACAACAGCCATGCCCTTGTCTGAGCATCTTTGAGTATACTGTTCATGCATGCCAATGCCAAAGTTTATGTATGTGATTAATCTGTGATATAACTGATGCTGTCACTGTAGAAATATACAGTTCTATAAAAGGGAATTGTATATTTAGTGGTGTTAACTCTTCAGGTACCTCTTATATAACAGATACAAAGTCTTTGATTAATCAGTAGAATTTGTCATTTGTGGAAAGAGACATTTACTGTTGTACATTTATTATTCACCTGTTGGTTTTAAATCTCTTGAATATGATGGTTATGTATAAAAAAATTTGTGTACCGAAAAATGGTCTAAAAGAATGCAATCACCATGGAAACCAGGATGTGCATTCCTTTGGCAACTCCTCCCCTTTTACACACTTTATACCTACCCCTAAAGTTTTTTGAATATATATTTTTTGAAAACTATCTAGTTCTATGTAAAAAGTATAAAAGACAAAATAAGTTGACTTGAATGTCCTGAACTTTTCTCATACTTTCAATCGATATATTCAAATTATATTTTAAATGAGATTTATCCCCTTGAAAAAATGGTGAATGTGGCAACTCTAACCCTATGTGATTTTTAGAACTTGTAAATAAAGACATGTTTTGTAGGAAGTAATAATTTACTTCTATAAAGTTTTTTTTCTGTTTTCTCTACCTATTTACTCTATTTATATTTTCTTCCCAGACTGCATCTCCAGCTACAGCAGGGAGAAGTAGCTTGCTGACGTTTAGAAAAATAGAACAATTACACAACAATGAATGAATGTGAAACTTCTGCAAACACATCAAAATGTAACACCAATGGCATAGATATCCAATGTTACCTAATACTGGACAGTCATGCCAAGAAGATTTTTGTTGCAGTGCTGTGCATCGCAGTGGGAACATTTTGCATCCTGCTGAATTCTATAGTCCTCTCTATGATATGGACATCAGCTCGACTGAGGAAGAAACCATCCTACATGTTTATTAGCAGTTTGGCCTTGGCTGACCTGTTGGCCAGTATTGTATTCTCGTATAGCTTTATTGACTTCCATGTTTTCCACAGTGCTGGGACACTTGTTACCTTCTTGATCAAGCTTGGCGGAGTCATCACATCATTCACAGCTTCCCTTGGTAGCTTGCTTTTAACTGCTTTTGACAGGTATATTTGTATTAACAAATCATCCACATATAAATCTGTAGTGACTGGGAAGAGAGCTCTGTTAGCATTAGTCTTGATGTGGACCAGCACCATATTTATTTCATTCCTGCCTCTTATGGGTGTCAATTGTTGTCAACTCCAGTCGATTTGCTCTGAATTGTTTCCCTTGATTGACAACAGATACTTGGCGAGTTGGATTGTACTGGTAATCGTCCTGCTATGTTTCATCATCTTTTCCTATGCACTTATCTTGTGGAAGGTTCACCAACATTCACTGTGTATGGAGACCTATAACAAGTCAACAGATCGTGGAAATATTAGATTAAGGATCGACATCAGTCTTGCCAAAACTTTGGTTTTGGTGCTAGCAGTGCTTGTCATATGCTGGTCTCCTGCTCTCATACTGATGGTGCACAGTGTAAAGAACCCGCTGCATAAAAGTACACGGACTGTTTTTGCATTTTGTAGCACTCTTTGTTTGATCAACTCAATGATTAACCCCATGATTTATTCATGGAGAAGCAGAGATTTGCACTCTAAAGTATCCAGAAATCTGAGAAAGTGCAAATGTCTTCTAAGATTTATAGAAAGGCAACCAGAATCTGAAGAAGCACAAAAAAATTCTGGTTTCGAAACAGCATGTGAAGAAACAGAATGTGATGCTTAAACTGCTGTATAGCTATGACACATTCGTTTGAACTAGATTGCCACAGGAGGACTAACATAATGAATTAGATGGCCACAAAGGATATATATATTGAACCTGATGGTGACAATTAGAACTTTTATTCTCACAGAACCGTGCCAGCCTTAAGGCTGAAAATGTACCATGGCAATTCTACTTCTTTAATAAATGACAAACTACATTCAGGCTATACGTGACTTACACATTTTAGCATGGGACGGACTCTAGTGCACTTAAATTGTTACTGATGGTGTGATAGCTGCTCCGTAATCCCCTAACTCAGCTCAGGGTCTGGGCCCTCTGGGGCTCGCCTCCATTCCCGCCCACGGGGTCCGCCTCCAAATCCCGCCCACAGGAATACACACACAAACACACACACTGATACAAAAGGGCACAGATACACACACGCAGATACATACTAACAGACACACATACTGAAACAGACATACACGCATATAGGCATACATACTGACACACACATACTGAGACATACGCACATATACAGACACACAGGCATACATAGTGACAGACAGACACATACTAACATACATACAGACACACAGGCATGAGGACATACAGACACATACATACAGACACAGACATACATACACACAGACATACATTCATAATGACTGACAGACATACATGCATACAGACACTGACATCCATACATACACAGACATACATTCATAATGGCATACAGACATGCATACAGACATACATACATAATGACATACAGACATACATGTGTAACGGGGTTTTGGGGGTGCCCCCTAGTGTCTTTGGGGTCCCCAAACCTAGTTAACTCACTATGCCTGACAGGCGGATCCTGAGCCTCCGCTATCTGGGAGCTGGGGTACATGTCTGCGGCAGTGCCTCCACCCAGTGGAGCATCCGGGGTAGGGATGTGGGGTCCCACTGGGAACATACTTGGTGCAATGAGACTGACACAGTCTAACTGGGACTAACTTTATATGGTAAGTAGCAATTGAACCAACATACATAGGAAAATACAATAGAGTAACACAGATAACAATGCAAATGTGGATTTTCCTCACTCACCCACCAGCACACCTGCGCCCCACCCCCTTATCTTCGCCCTAGCGGCCGTTGGTGCACATAGGAGAGTTGGGGCCCTTATAAGTCCTGCTTCACAGGGTCACTGAAGCAACCACAGATGTGTAATGTCTGTCACGGGACCTCAGAGTCTTTACTGTGAGTGAGGAGACAGGTGCCCTGTGGCGATACAGGGAGAGGCTTGGCTTACCCTCACAACACGATTAACCAGTCAGTCAGCAGCAGTCTCCTCTCACTGGATTCGCCAGACGTCTGGACTCAGTGCTTGTCTTCTTTCCTTTCCTGCAGGTCCCTCTCTCAGCTGGTGTGATCTTGGGTGAAACAAGTTCTCTCAGCCAGGCCCTATCTCTGTGCTACAGTCTCTCACATGTCCTTTCTCTGGCTCAGCATGTGGTCACTCTTAGAATCCTCCTCCCTCAGAGCTGTGCAGGAAGTCCTGACAGGCCCTGCGATGATGCCACACTCCTCTCTTGATTTCAGCAAGTCATGTGATCAAAGCTCAATGTTTTATTAACAGCATACTGAGTCCATGTGCCATCTACTGGGCATTTCAGATAATGCAGCCTGTGTAACTTCACAGGCTACATGCTCCCCCTTGAAAATACTTGCCTTCCACTGGCAAGTCCTAGCCAGGGAGCTTAACAAAAATTCAACAGAAAAAGGTTTAGCATACCTACAGTACAGTTCGCACAGTAACATCCTAGCTAGCTAGTTATTTAGGGTAAACAGTCACTAACATTTACCACTTCAGCTAGTGCATGTAGGAAAGTGGCCATTTTAAATGCTGCTTGTGTCAGCGGGGCATAACTGGGCTCTCCTATATTATCATAAACTAGGGCCCTAGGGGGTTGCCGCACTCTGGTGCTGTGTCTCAGTTCTCGCTGGGGGAGAGGATCTTGGGACATCAACTGTGGAACTTCGACTCCTGCCCTCGAAGTAGAGTTTTTAAGGGAAGTTCCAGGCACAAAACAGGGACTTTCTGGATTCAACCTTGGAGAACTTTGTGACCCAGGAGAGGTTCCGGGACTTTGTGAAACCACAGGAGTTAAAGGAGGCAATTGTTGTGTTTCTTCAGCGGGTGATGACCACCACTGATCCTCTGCACTGGGAGTTCCCGGGGTCTCCTCTGCCCCATTTCCAGGACTCTCTGCTGGGGTTTCCTCCAGTTCTTCACTACTCTCTTCCTCTTCATCAGTATACACAACTGGAAGCAGATGGTTTCTATGCCAAGCCTTTATTCGGCCCTCCGGGCCCCGAATGTTGTACACTGGCAGTCCTTCCAGTTTGGACACAACCTCAAACAGGGTATCTTTCCATCTGTCAGCCAGTTTGTGTTTTCCAGGCACACCTAGATTCCGGAGAAGAACTTTATCCCCTGCTTGAATCTCCCGATATCTCACCTTAGCATCATATCTTCTTTTGTTCCGTTCTTCCATTTTTGCTGCAGCTTGGGTGGCCAACTCGTAGGCCCGACGAAGGTTTTGTTTGAGGTTCCTCACATATTGAAAGTGTGAAGTTGAATCTGTTCCATCAGGAGACACTCCCAACCGGACATCTATCGGCAATCGAGCTTCTCTTCCGAACATTAAGAAATAGGGTGAGAACCCTGTAGATTCATGCCTTGTACAGTTGTATGCGTGGACCATGGTTTCCACATGTTTACTCCAAGACCGCTTCTCGATTTGCTTGAGAGTCCCTAGCATATCTAGGAGGGTCCTATTGAAACGTTCTGGCTGTGCATCACCCTCCGGATGATAAGGTGTGGTTCTGGACTTCTGCACCTGCAACATGCCTAACAGCTCCTTTATCAACTTACTCTCAAAGTCTCTACCTTGATCAGAGTGTAGCCGATTGGGTAGTCCATAGTGAATAAAATACTTCTGCCAAAGGACTTTGGCTACAGTCACAACCTTTTGGTCTTTAGTGGGGAAAGCTTGAGCATATCTGGTGAAGTGGTCCGTTACCACCAGCACATTTCCAATTCCCGCTGTATCGTCCTCAATGCAGAGATAGTCCATGCACACAAGATCCATGGGTCCCGTACTTTTCAGATGACCCATAGGGGCAGCTCTCACAGGCAGGGTCTTCCTCTGGATACACCTCCTGCATGTCTTTACATGTTGCTCGACATGTTCCCTCATGCGAGGCCAATAGAACCGATCTTGTACTAGGCCATAGGTCTTGTCCACCCCGAGATGCCCATGTTGATCGTGGAGAGCTCTCAGGACCATGCCACGGTATCGGTGCGGTAGTACCAATTGTTTTCTGTCAGGGTGATCATGATACTTCACGACCCTATAGAGTACTCCATCTTCGAGATGTAGTCGGCTCCATTCTCTTCGGTATAATTCTCTTTGATTCACAGGTAGAGAAGTCAGCAATTTAGGATTCTTAGTCTTTATTGCTCTGATAACTATCCCAATATACCAGTCCTGCGCTTGAGCCTTCCTCTTGTCTTCTGTGGTTATACTGGACCACTGTTGAAGCATGACTGGAGCATGGAACACCTCAGGCACAGCTTCGGGAGAGTGGCTAATGGAGTCTATCCCTCTTAGCTCGGCAAATTCTTCTTGACTCTCGGCCACCACATACATCTGACAAAAGGCTCCTACCCCCGGCCCAGGGATCTCTTCCCACTCCTCTTCTTCTTGGTGAGGGGGGAGTCTAGGTCTGCGGGACAGGGCATCTGCGCTGACATTCTTGGGCCCAGGCTTGTACTTCAGGCTGAAACTGTAGTTTGACAAGGCAGCCAACCACCTATGTCCTGTAGCATCCAGCTTAGCTGTAGTCTGGATGTAGGTAAGTGGATTGTTGTCAGTCCTTACTTCGAATGTTGCCCCATACAAATAGTCATGCAGCTTATCCACGATGGCCCACTTGAGTGCCAGAAATTCCAATTTATGGACTGGATAGTTCTTCTCTGCACCTGTAAGACTCCTACTTATGTAAGCCACCGGCCTCAATCCTGCTGGATAACTTTGGTGCAGTACACCCCCTAGGCCTTCCATACTGGCATCCACATGGAGGATATATGGTTTCTCAGGGTCTGCATAGGCTAAGACAGGAGCTTCTGTAAGTCTCTTCTTCAGCGTCAGAAAGGCATCTTCACATCCTGAAGTCCATTTCTCTCCAAAGGGGTCTTTAGGATATGGTGCCTTAACACCCTTTACGTCAGAGATAATCTTCAGCAGGTCATGTAACTCTCGAGCAATCTTTGAGTAGTCTTTCACGAACCTTCGGTAGTAACCACAGAATCCGAGAAAGGACCGCAACTCACCGATGTTATTTGGTCTTGGCCAATTCAGCACTGCTTCAATTTTAGCAGGATCTGTGGCTACTCCTTCAGCGGAGACTATGTGCCCCACATAAGTGACAGAGTTCTGGGCAAATCGGCATTTGTCCACTGATAGCTTCAGGCCTTCAGCTTGAAGTCGATCCAACACCTTTAGCAATCTTTGTTCATGCTCCTCTGGTGTCTTCCCGAAAACAATTAGGTCATCTAGATACACTAGACACTCTTTGGGATTCATATCCCCCACAGTTTTCTCCATCAGCCTCTGAAAAGTAGCAGGAGCTCCTGTGACTCCCTGTGGCATTCTGGTAAACTGGAAGAACCCCAAAGGGCAGATGAAAGCTGTCTTTTCCTGATCTTCCTTCTTCATGGGTACCTGATAATATCCAGACCTCAAGTCAAGCACACTGAACCACTGGCTTCCAGATAGGGCGTTCAGAAGATCTTCTATCCGGGGCAAGGTGTACTGGTCTGGCACAGTCCTCTTGTTCAGAGTACGGTAGTCCACACATAGCCGAACTGAACCATTCTTTTTCCTCACTACCACAATAGGTGAGGCATAGGGGCTCCGGGACTCTGTGATGATGCCTGCTCCTTCCATCTGCTGGAGTATGTCCCGGACATCTTCCACATCTCGAGGGGGTATTCTTCTTGACCTTTCTCTGAAAGGAGTAGGATCAGCAAGTCTTATAGCATGGGTGGCACTCTTAGAACACCCCACGTCCATCTCTGCTCTGGAGAACACTCCCTCTCGGGTGGCCAGTTTTGAACGAAGGCTGTCTTTCCACTGCTGTGGTAGGGGAGAATCTTCTAGATCAAAATCTAAAGGTGCTTTCACATGATCCGTCTGTTCTGCACTCACAGACATGATGGACGAAACTTGATCTAAAAGGTGTATTACACCAATCTTCTGATGACGATCAATCCGGATTTCCGTGGGGGTTAAATTCTGTACCATCACAGGAAAACTCCGACACCACCTTTTTCGCCAATCTTTTATCTCAGGTATGAGAGTCCACCCCTTCTTCTGATCCTCTTCAGGCAGAGACTCAATAAGGTATTGTCCAGTTCCCCCCAACATTTCATGGTGCATTGAGGCTATGGCTCGTAAGGTTTTGGTCTCACCAGGCTTCACAAATGCAGGTTCTGTTCCTGAATAGTGGCACAACCCTGGTTTTGTTGCAAGGGCTAGTCGTCGACACTCTTTTCCTAGGACAGGGCTGACCTCCATCAGTCGGTCTAAGGAGACATCTCCCACTTCTGTCAGATAGGCCCTGAATACATCCTGTACCATCTTTGCATTAGTACCCAATATTATTGGGGCACACACTTTCTTGGCTGCAGGGCATATCAAAGCTTCCAGCTCCATAGGACATATCATCCCGGTATTTAACTGGGGAATAGTTATGGTCACTTTTATGCATCCCTCCACAGGTTGAGCTTGAGACCCAACGCCCCATAGCTGAAACTCTCCTGCAGGTTCCATAGGAATGTGTTTCAAATGACGTTCATAGAAGTCTCTGTAGATAATGGTGACTTGAGAACCTGTATCTAGCAATGCTGAAGCATGAATTCCTTCCACTTGCACGTGTATCAAAGATTTAGGCCCAATCTTGGCCCCTACAGATAGACTATATGTAGGCCGGGTCTTCCTTCGCTTGTAAGACCTGGTCATTTGAGTCTCCCCGAGCTCGGTTGCCAGCACCCCCACATCCACCTCCATGGAATCCGCAGGGCACTCCCGCTGAAAATGCCCTGACTTTCCACATTTAAAGCAGTTCCCTCGGCGGGGTGAATCCTCAGGAAACAGCTTTTTCTGAGTCTTCCTGTGTTGCCCCCCACTTCCAGGGGGAAGATCTGCTCTCTCTGGTGGTGATTTGCATAAAAGCTCCAATTCAGCCACCTTCTTCCTAAGAGCTGACAGTTCTGTATTCTCTTTCTCCTTCTGTAGGGGTGGACACATCTGGTCTTCCAATCTCCTGGCTGTATTTATTAATGTGGAATAAGGCAGAACTTTATCATCCAACTTGGCTCTCAGCAGAATCATAACTGGATTACTGGTCAAACCACCTCTCTGAATTTGCTTAGATAGCCGAGCATCCAACTCAGAGGCAGTGACTGCTCCTTTATGGAATAACTTTCCAAGTGATAGCTGTAACCGGTTGATATAGTCAGTGGCTTTTTCGTGCTCCTTCTGCTTAGTGGCTAGGAACTTAACCAACAGATCATCCAAATCTTCTGATTTCCCATAAGCGTCCTGTAAAACTTGTAGATAGTCGTGCGCAGTAGCTTGCCCATTTACTCCCTTGTACAGTCTTATCATGTCTGTAGCGGGAAAACGAAGACTCTCCACCAACCGCTGTTTCTTTATGGTATCCGTACAAGACCATTCCTCCAACAACTGCATAGCATTATCCTTCCAGACCTCAAAAGGCTCTTCTCCTGCAGGAACAGGCTGATTCCCAGAAAACACCTTTAGTTTGCGGTAACTATGGGTGTGGTTTGCCGTCACTATGGCTTCTGAGAGTTTCTGTAGTATGTCCGATACATCACTACCTCCTGTAGGCAGGGTGTGTACTTCAGGGTTGTCTGGTTTCAGTAATGCTGTAGATGGATGAGATTCTGCTTTAGGAGTAATCATCCCCTGTCCTCTAGGAGGATGGGCAGCTTGTTTAGGAATGGCTCCGGCCTTTCCGGAGATGGGGGTCAGGAGCTTAGAATAATTTTCTGTGACATAATCTTTCCGTTCTAATTTAAAGGGTTGTTGCAGTGAGACCCTTTCTTTCTTATCAAGGAGAGCGTACACTAAGGAGCATCCTCCATCCGGGGCTCCATGTAAATGAATGTTGGTAGGCATCTCATGGTCTCCCAAGCCCGTATGACAATATATTAACATGTAAGTTTGGCCTTCAGAATCCTGCAGGATATCTCTGATGGTCGCCATTTCTATTCCCAGTCGAATTTCTATACACAAGATGACGTGATTCATCTCACAGCAGGATGGGACTTTGCATAACATCACAGCTTGCTGTAATGGTACATTTCTTTGCTGGGCCCACTGTTTCACAAAGGAGGGAGTGGCCTGAGGACTTAACCTATTCTCACTGGTTGTACCCCAATACATCTCAGCAGTGCCTCCATCTGTAACGGGGTTTTGGGGGTGCCCCCTAGTGTCTTTGGGGTCCCCAAACCTAGTTAACTCACTATGCCTGACAGGCGGATCCTGAGCCTCCGCTATCTGGGAGCTGGGGTACATGTCTGCGGCAGTGCCTCCACCCAGTGGAGCATCCGGGGTAGGGATGTGGGGTCCCACTGGGAACATACTTGGTGCAATGAGACTGACACAGTCTAACTGGGACTAACTTTATATGGTAAGTAGCAATTGAACCAACATACATAGGAAAATACAATAGAGTAACACAGATAACAATGCAAATGTGGATTTTCCTCACTCACCCACCAGCACACCTGCGCCCCACCCCCTTATCTTCGCCCTAGCGGCCGTTGGTGCACATAGGAGAGTTGGGGCCCTTATAAGTCCTGCTTCACAGGGTCACTGAAGCAACCACAGATGTGTAATGTCTGTCACGGGACCTCAGAGTCTTTACTGTGAGTGAGGAGACAGGTGCCCTGTGGCGATACAGGGAGAGGCTTGGCTTACCCTCACAACACTATTAACCAGTCAGTCAGCAGCAGTCTCCTCTCACTGGATTCGCCAGACGTCTGGACTCAGTGCTTGTCTTCTTTCCTTTCCTGCAGGTCCCTCTCTCAGCTGGCGTGATCTTGGGTGAAACAAGTTCTCTCAGCCAGGCCCTATCTCTGTGCTACAGTCTCTCACATGTCCTTTCTCTGGCTCAGCATGTGGTCACTCTTAGAATCCTCCTCCCTCAGAGCTGTGCAGGAAGTCCTGACAGGCCCTGCGATGATGCCACACTCCTCTCTTGATTTCAGCAAGTCATGTGATCAAAGCTCAATGTTTTATTAACAGCATACTGAGTCCATGTGCCATCTACTGGGCATTTCAGATAATGCAGCCTGTGTAACTTCACAGGCTACACATGCATACATACATAATGACATACAGACATACACACACACACACACAGAGCTCATTTTTCAGTCACCCTCCTGTTTCTTACCTTTTCTTTGCAGGAAGGTGGCTGGGAATGATAGGGGTTGGCGTGGCTCTCCCTCTTCACCGGCGTGCGCTCCTCCCACGTGGAGTGAGCTGGGAGGAAGTGACCACTTCCTCCCAGCAGCACTTGCTGAGGCTGCGTTTTTTTTTAAAGGGGCTTGGTCGCACTATAACACGACCACAGCGCTGACTGGGCCCCTGAAGATATAGGGACCATCGGGTGGCCATAAGTGCATGGGCCACCCGATAGGCCCCAACAGAGTGCGGGTCCCGGTGCAACTGCACCAGCGGCATTTCCGCCGCTACACGTGGGGCACGGGCGGCCATCATGGTTGTCACCCCCTGATGGCGGCCTTGTCTGTAATATGTTTCTTCTTTCTATAAATAGAGGCATTCTAAGCACTATTACTATTAGCTCATTATAGTGTTTATGATGCTGTAAGTCTCTAGCTCAAAAGATGCCTCCAAAACTGAGATTTTACTTTTTCAATTTTGTTCTCAACCAGTAGTGGTTCATCAATAGGGACACTTAGGGCAGCAAAAACAATATAATTGTGTTATAATAAAAAATACTCTATTGCCAGTGGTAAAAGAGTAAACTACTAACACTGCTTTTCTGGGGGAGAGGATTAACATAGATATTCAAACACAGCCCATATAGTACAGCAGTGCTAAAATTTCTCCTCCTCTTTTTTCACAACAATAAACACTGATAATGAATTATTGTTGTCTGGATAAGCTTAACCTCTTAAGTCCAGGGGACTTACCCCAGCCGGCAATCACGATGGGGGGGGGACTTGCCTTGCAGCCCAGGCAGTCCCCCTGCTGCCGATTCGGCCCTTCTGTGCCATGTGATCGCGAGGTCCTTGCGAGGACCTCACGATCACGTGGACGGAATAGCCGTCCTTAGCAGTGCCAGCAGGGGGAGTGCCT